TCACATCAAAGCATATGTTCCTCTACTGTATGTAGAGATCACATCGACACATATGTTCCCCTACTGCATGTAGAGATCACATCGACACATATGTTCCTCTACTGCATGTAAAGACCATATCAACGCATATGTTCCTCTACTGCACGTAGAGACCATTTCAAAGCATATGTTCCTCTACTGCACGTACAGACCACATCAAAGCATATGTTTCTCTACTGCACGTAGAGACCACATCAAAGCATATGTTTCTCTACTGCACGTACAGACCCTATCAAAGCATATATTCCTCTACAACACGTAGAGACCATATCAAAGCATATGTTCCTCTACTGCACGTACAGACCCTATCAAAGTATATGTTCCTCTACTGGACGTACAGACCATTTCAAAGCATATGTTCCTCTACTGCACGTACAGACCCTATCAAAGTATATGTTCCTCTACTGGACGTACAGACCATTTCAAAGCATATGTTCCTCTACTGCACGTACGAGTAACTAAAGTCTGGGACTCGTATCGTCGGTAAAGAGGAATTGGCGTCGTACCTACTGAGCATGTACTCAGGTGGAACAAGAAATGATCCTCTCGATGACAGGCAGGAGTTTCTAAGTGGCCTGTAGTGGCCAGAGTTGCCGAAGGTAGAAGAAGTTATGAAAAGAGCCAACTGAAAATCTGCCCCAGGAGCCAACGGTGTCCAGTACATGGAATACAAACGCAGTCCGAAAGACCTCAGAAAGCTTTACAGCTTGCTATGGCGCGTGTGGAGCCGAAAGTACATCTGTAAGGAGTGGCAGAAGGCTAACGGAATCTACATTCCCAAGGAGAGAGACTTCTCTTATCTATCCAGACATGTCTCGCTGTTAAACATTGAGGACATAATATTTCTATCGTTTATGACACGCAGACTCACTCAGTAAACGCAGACTCACTCAGTACACACAGACTCACTCAATACACACAGACTCGCTCAGTACACACAGACTCACCCAGTACACACAGACTCACTCAGTACACGTACATAGACCTATCCAGAAAGGTGGCATTTCGGGCGTTCTATGATGTTTTTAGCATGCGACCATGATTTGAGAGCATTCAGAGGGCGGTAAGAGCTGCACGTGATCTGGCTGGACCTCTCCAACGCCTATGTACCGCATAGACTGTTATGACCGGCCCTTCGCATATTTCACGAACTAGCAGAGGTCATTGCCATGATAGAGATGTATTTTTCAAAATTCGGTGTACGCTTCTCTACCCCCACGTCCACTACGAGGTGGATTGAGCTCCAGGTTGGGATATCAATGAGGTGTAAGATTTCCCCAGAACTGTTCGTTGTTATGTTAGATGGGATTGCAGGCTTGTTAAATGGTGTTGCAGGTTAGTTAGATGGGGCTGCAGGTTTGTTAGATGGGGCTGTAGGTTTGTTAGATGGGGCTGCAGGTTTGTTAGACGGGGCTGCAGGCTTGTTAGATAAAGCTGCAGGTTTGTTAGATGGAGCTGCAGGTTTGTTAGATGGAGCTGCAGGTTTGTTAGATGGAGCTGCAGGTTTGTTAGATGGAGCTGCAGGTTTGTTAGATGGGGCTACAGTCTTGTTAGATGGAGCTGCAGGTTTGTTAGATGGGGCTACAGTCTTGTTAGATGGAGCTGCAGGCTTGTTAGATGGGGCTGCAGGTTTGTTAGATGGGGCTACAGTCTTGTTAGATGGAGCTGCAGGCTTGTTAGATGGAGCTGCAGTCTTGTTAGATGGAGCTGCAGGCTTGTTAGATGGGGCTACAGTCTTGTTAGATGGAGCTGCAGGCTTGTTAGATGGGGCTACAGTCTTGTTAGATGGGGCTACAGTCTTGTTAGATGGGGCTACAGTCTTGTTAGATGGAGCTGCAGGCTTGTTAGATGGAGCTACAGTCTCGTTAGATGGGGCTACAGTCTTGTTAGATGGGGCTACAGTCTTGTTAGATGGAGCTGCAGGTTTGTTAGATGGGGCTGCAGGCTTGTTAGATGGAGCTGCAGGCTTGTTAGATGGAGCTGCAGGTTTGTTAGATGGGGCTGCAGGCTTGTTAGCTGGGGCTGCAGGCTTGTTAGATGGGGCTGCAGGCTTGTTAGATGGGGCTGCAGGTTTGTTAGATGGGGCTGCAGGTTTGTTAGATGGGGCTGCAGGCTTGTTAGATGGGGCTGCAGTCTTGTTAGATGGGGCTGCAGGCTTGTTAGATGGGGCTACAGTCTTGTTAGATGGGGCTGCAGGTTTGTTAGATGGGGCTGCAGGTTTGTTAGATGGGGCTGCAGGCTTGTTAGATGGGGCTGCAGTCTTGTTAGATGGGGCTGCAGTCTTGTTAGATGGGGCTGCAGTCTTGTTAGATGGGGCTGCAGTCTTGTTAGATGGGGCTGCAGGTTTGTTAGATGGAGCTTCAGGTTTGTTAAATGGAGCTGCAGGTTTGTTAGATGGAGCTGCAGGTTTGTTAGATGTGGTTGCAGGTTTGTTAGATGGGATCGCAGGCTTGTTAGATGG